GCAACAGTACCATTGTACCAGTGACATTGCCTGTGCAACAGTACCATTGTACCAGTGACATTACCTGTGCAACAGTACCATTGTACCAGTGACATTGCCTGTGCAACAGTGACATTGCCTTTGCAACAGTACCATTGCACCAGTAACATCCATACCCTTACATGCTTACCTTGAAGAGCTGCAAGATCTTGGCAAACAGTTGTAAATCAGATGCTTTGTAATGAGCTTTGGAAAAGTCATACAGGAGAATGATACCACTGGCTTGGGTCTGAGGACTAAAATTAATAGAACATAGAATGAACACCAAGTTGAGTGAGTCTATCTCTACCCAACTTAAAATCATTGATTTAAATATATAATTTACCTATTACGCATGCTCTTATATGTTTTCCGAGCCCATCCCACACGGCTTACCGCCTCATCTCTCTTGTCTGATTTAAAGATACGACGAGTGTTTAATGATGCCACGAAAGCCTACTTTACCTTTTGACAGCTTGGTTCAGTTGTATGTAGATGTTGTTCATGACTACTTCATGAGCTGTTGCAGGGGAGTGACCCTGGGCAACGAAGACCGCAATGGCGCATCCGCTGTGATCACGTGAGTCCTGTATCAACAAATAGGGTGGTCAGTTATATTTAATAACAAACATGGCAAGCTAAATCAACCAGATCTGAAGACTACCTCTGCAGGTGACCTTTCAGCATCCACCACTTAACCCTCTGCCATCGCTAACTTTCCCTCTCTATACTTGTCTCTATGCGGATATCTTCTCTTCATTCACTATTTCATTCACTCAACAACTAACTCTTAAATGCTTGCAGAACGAGATGGTACAGGTTTTACACAGACTGCACCACCCACAGGCAAGTATCCATGACACCAAATCAATTCCTACTTCGTCACTAAGCAACCGGGACTTTAATCCTGTCCTTCTCTGTAAGGAGCGATTGGGATCCCTGCATATTCAAATCAAAATGTGCTGTAAAGTTGTGCTGTAACTCACCAGAATGGTGAACTTGCCACTGTACAGTTCTTTACATAAAGGGTCTCTGAAAGGCGACATTGAAACCTTCTGTTGAAGATTTTTAATTTCCTGGAGAGAAAAAAAGCATATTATATTATCATTTTTTTGAAATTATAAACGAGTTTCTGCATATAGACGAATTTGAAAAAAAAATCGTCAAGTCTGTAATCTAGTCTCCCGCACAGCCGCTTTCAGTGTCGTCACGCAACGCTGAGGGGAGAAAGCGTTGCGTGACGACACTGAAAGCGGCTGTGCGGGAGACTAGTCTGTAATCATGAGTAATTTTTTCTAAGTGACACAAAGACTGATTAGTTCGTATTCTGTTCCTAAGAAAGAGAAGCACGTCAATTCGAAGTCTATTAAGCAGAAGGAAATTGCTTGAAGTTCCTCTACCAATATAGAAGACTTTAAATAGATTAGAGTCCGATTTTTTACGATCGAGATTTCTTAACCAAATGCGCAAAAACGAGCAAAAAGAAATTAGGTAATCATTAAATATTGCCAAATAAAAGATAACATGCTTCGAAAAATAGAAAATTTTATCGACTGAAATTAAAAAAAAAATTAAATTAAATTAAAAAAAAAAAGCGAAAAAATTCGACTCAAATGTGCCATACCCCCGAGACATCCGCAGAGCTGGGGCGTCGTATGGACTTCGGACCTGACGGCGATTAAATCCTTCTGCCCTTGGGTGTACGAATTACGCAAGAAAATGTTCTAGCCAGCCTAGAGAGACCAGCCGGCCCCCAGACCATATCGGCTAATCCCTTGCATCTCTGCCACGCACGGAATCGGATGAAAGTATAATGTTAAAAAGTCTAGTCTATTCGGTGCATTGATTTCACGGCTATTGTTATGCTGATTCACCTGGAACCGTGGTCCAGTGGAAAACACTTGGGCTTCAATAATACTGAGTCAAGTCCGGTTGAGCGAAGTTGGTACCTGGATGGGTGACCCCAAACTGATGCCCTTTTTTTCTTTTTTTTTTTTTTTTGCGAAATTGTTTGGTTTTGTTTTTGTTTGTTTGTTGTTGTTTTTCTGTTGTTGTTCTAAATGATCAACTTGAATGGATATAAAAAGATGAAGTTTTTTTGCTCGCAATTCGTAATAGTTTTTTTATGTTTTGCAGTGCTGGTCAATTTAACTAAACTCCTCTAGAACTTAGTTCCAAGGAGAAAACTTCGCCCAAAATGCTTATCGCTTAGCATAGTTTCTTGTTTGCAGCAACTCTAACATGCAGCAACTCGTTTCTTAGGCCCTGGTTAAACGAGGAAACATTTGATTTTTTACCAGTTAATTCTCATGCGAAAAACATTGCTGCGTGCAACAAATTTTGCTTCCAAGACGCCAAAAATGTTTTTGCTGTGCGACAGAAACATTTAATATTTCCAAGACGTATGGAAACATTGTTTCCCGATGTTTTCTGTTAGTTTTGCCACCTTAGGAAACATTTAGGGAAACACATGTTTCCTCGTTTAGCCAGGGCCTTATTTACAACTTGTCCGTAACTTGCTGCTTGTCCCCGGCTTATGGGCCAACGTAGAATTCATTCGTCGCTGCTCCTACCTTTGGTGTCCTTGTCTGCTTGAAGGCCTCTTTCAGCTGGCAAGGCTTGTACAGTGAAGCACCGGTCTCAGCCATGATGACGCTACTCTGTTTAGTCGCCGCTGACTGTCTCACCCAGGATCCTTTGCAGCTCTTAGAAGGAACCATTAGTGGCTCAGCTTTTGAATCAAAAAATCATAAAATATTGTTACTTGCAATCATTCCTGTTCAACGGTGTAATAATAAGAATGATGAGTTTCAAATGGATATATAAATGTATCTATTTCATGTACCTTCGACAGACACCTCATCTTCTTTCTCAGCAGATTTCAGCAGTTCGTCATGTTCCACGACGTTGTTGCAAAACGACGGCACGTTCTCTGAAACGAGTGGTCTGCATTCTTCAGCCACTGCCTCGTCAAGAATCTCTGTCACCACGGCTACCTTCTCCTGTTCTGCGATGTCGAATGCCTTGCCCATTACTTGGTCGAGAAGGTCTGCCACCACGACTACCTTCTCCTGTTCTGCAATGTCGACTGCCTTGGCCACTACTTCGTCGAGAAGGTCTGCCACCACGACTACCTTCTCCTGTTCTGCAATGTCGACTGCCTTAGCCACTACTTCGTCGAGAAGGTCTGCCACCACGACTACCTTCTCCTGTTCTGCAATGTCGACTGCCTTGGCCACTACTTCGTCGAGAAGGTCGGCCACCACGACTGCCTTCTCCTGTTCTGCAATGTTGACTGCCTTGGCCACTACTTCGTCGAGAAGGTCTGCGACCACGACTGCCTTCTCCTGTTCTGCAATGTCGACTGCCTTGGCCACTACTTCGTCGAGAAGGTCTGCCACCATGACTACCTTCTCCTGTTCTGCGATGTCGACTGCCTTGGCCACTACTTCNTACTTCGTCGAGAAGGTCTGCCACCATGACTACCTTCTCCTGTTCTGCGATGTCGACTGCCTTGGCCACTACTTCGTCGAGAAGGTCTGCCACCACGACTGCCTTCTCCTGTTCTGCAATGTCGACTGCCTTGGCTATTAGTTCGTTGACAATCTCTGCAACAACACCTTTTTCTACACATCTAGAGGAAGTCGGTTTTTCAACAGTGACCTCGTTGTCGTCCACCGCCATACTTTGTTTCTTGTCCACACTTGATCCATTAGATGACACCTCGTTCGCCTCTACTTGATTCACAGTAGCTTCACCTATCAGTCGGCTAAAAATAGCACCTACTGTATCAACGTTATCACGGCTGTTTGCGCACGAAGAGAGCTTTAGTGGACGATCCTGTTGGTTGTTAAGGTGTTGACAGTCTTGTTGGGATTGAATGTTGTTCGTCTTTTGGATCTTTGAACCTGGTTAAAATCAGGATAGATTTTTGTCAGCAACAAAAGAGTCACTTTATGCGCTACATTTTCTCTTTTTAATTCTTTTTCAGTGATTTGAAGGAATACTGTAGCGTCCATTTAACAAAGGTCCGGACCGCAAGTTGTTTATGTACGTTATTATTAGTGACTGATGTTCTAACTTACCTTTGTGTTTCAGGTATCCTTTTTGTTTGGCGATTCTTTGACGAGCCTTTGCTCTGTTTATTTCTCGTTCCGTGTTTTCCATGGTGACCTGGATTATCAAACCAATGATTAGTTACTTCATCTTGTTATCAGTGATAACGCCTACCAAATACATATGGTGTTCGTTCTCTTCGGAGGCCAAGAACAATTTTTTTGGACATCCAAAATTACAGTGTATCAAATGGAGTAAGAATCTTGTTTTATCCCATTTCAGACCACGTGTCATTCTCTTGAGAATATGATTTTTTAAAAAGTTGTTCGCCGAATTCCATCCATATTTATGTGTCTTCTCATACGCAACCGTTAAACAAGGAAATGATACTCTAGGGAATGACACGTGGTCTAGAATTTCTGATCTGAATTATTGTAAATCATGAATTTAATCATCTCTGCGCAATAAGAGTTCATTACTTTTAATGACTAAAGCTTTAACAATAGGACAGTATCAACATGTATTACTCACCTCAGTCACGCAGGAACGAATACGATGTTCCTAAAAGGTTGCAAACAAGCATGAAGTTGAGTATATTTTTAGCATATTTTCATCATTACTGTTTCATTAGAAACATCGACGCAGCTCACACTAGTTTTTAGCTAGTTATATCTTTATATTTTTAGGGTAATGTTATAATAAAATAGAATCAAAGTGATAGAAACTCGAGCGTAAATCGGAAAAGGGAGAACGTTTCTAAATCGTGCGCAAAGCAGTTTTTTCCTGTGAACTCACCTTGCTATGTCTTCGGTCTTGGCTTCCAAAACATCCACATTTCCCTTTACTTTGGGAAGTCCCCATACCAACACAATGGGGACAAAAACTAATTAAATTCGGTAGATTTTCTTAGACTTTGACGAGAGAGCAAAATTCGCACAGCTTACAACATGAAATCAAAATTCTTAATGAGAAAAAACAGCGCGCGCGAATGACATCATAGAAAACCTTTATGACGAAGGATTCGAAAAATTGGTTTGCATTGGGCTGCCTGTGGTGGATATTCGAACGGATGAGTTTGTTTTGGGCTGCCTGTGGTGGAGATTTTAAATTCCTACTAAACGTATCATTCATTTTAATTTTTCCAATTTTTGGAGGTGGGTTACATATAAGTGGGCTATAAATAAGTGTAACCTTTTTAATATTTTGGCGGGTTTTTTGGTTTTATTTAATGAAATAGAGAAGTTAAAATTATTTAGTAAATCCAAAACTTTACCCCCTTGGTCCCCCAGTGGGATATTTTTGTTCGCTTCCAGTCTCCTCTCGTTAAAACCTTCCCATAATGCTTTGTGAGTGACCGAGCGCGAAAACATGGCGGAGGAAGTGAAAAAATATGCGAGTCGTTGACTTGACTTTGAACATCGTTTACTTCATTTTTGACCATGGGAGATTTAGACAGCGACTCATTCCCTGAAAGAAAAGTCGAGGTTAGTAACTAGGAATCATAAAATATGTAATTCACGAGATTTTCAACTTTTTAAACAAGTTTTTAGAACTTAACAATTCTTGTCAAACGTCATTTCTTCTCGATTTTTATACTGAATTTGTAACAATTGCTTTACATTTTGATATATTTTACACTTTTTCACTAGCTTTATGTTGTTTTATTAGGATTTTTACTTCAAACAGCTGAAAAAACTTCAAATATTTGATTCGCCCGAGGGTGGCCTTCCACTTGCTAGGACCAGCCTACTTGCGGTGTCTAATAAGCATGGGTTGTGCTTTGTTGGGTGTCCTACTGGTACGTATATCCTTAGTAAAAATTATCATTAACATTATTACCCTCACCTTTATTATTATCTTGAGTCACTACCATCACCAATTACCATCATTACTCATTACCATTATTATCACAACATTATCACCTCTCATCCTTAACAACATTATCACCACCATCAACATCACTCAACAACATCGCCACCATGCATCATTATCATCAACAGCATCTTCATCACAATACATCATCACCATCATATGCATCATTATCATTAACAGCATTATCATCACATTGCATCATCACCATCATCACCACCATCAACATCCCTCAACAACTTTGTCACCATGCATCATTATCATCAACAGCATCTTCATCACAATACATCATCACCATCATATGCATCATTATCGTCGACAGCACCTTCATCACAATACATCATCACCATCATATACATCATTATCATTAACAGCACCTTCATCACAATACATCATCACCATCATATGCATCATTATCATTAACAGCACCTTCATCACAATACATCATCNCATCATTATCATTAACAGCACCTTCATCACAATACATCATCACCATCATATGCATCATTATCATTAACAGCACCTTCATCACAATACATCATCGCCATCATATGCATCATTATCATTAACAGCATCTTCATCACAATGCATCATCATCTTTATCACTATTATCATCACCCAAAGTCATTATAGCCATATTTGATGACCATTTTCATCATTGATCACCAACATCATCACCATCACAATCATTGCCATTATCACTGTCATCATGACTCTCCATTATCATGATTATTTCCACCATTATCACTTACCATTATCGCCACAATAAACATCATCATCATCATAATAATAATAATAATAATAATAATGGGATTAACAGTGGATTCCACAGAGTGGCTCTTCCTCCACTGGATTCTAATTGGAATTTAGAAGTTGATTTTTGTGGAGTGAGGAAAACCGGAGAACCTGAAAAACCCTTGAAGCACAAGACAGAACCAACAAACAACTCAACTCACATACAACACTGATCTCATCTGCACTCCAACTCGGGTTGCATTGGTGAAAAGTGAGCGGTCTCACTGCTACGCCACCCATGCCTTCCATGATACAATTATTAATCACCAACAATATTACCTTTTTTTATGTACGTCCTATAACTCTTGACATAATAGGCATTGTTTTTATTTATAGGTGTTAAAATCATCAAGACAGATATAATTGGGAAGTTAAACCAACAGGATGAAAGAAATATCAATGCAGTAGGTAAGTAGGCCGTAATAAACAGCATAAAAGGTAATAATTTAAAAATAAAATAATAATAATAATAAAAGTTGATTAATAATAGTAATAAATGAATAATAATTAATTTTATTGAGAATAGCCGACATAATAATATTATTAACAGAAGGGCTAGAGTATAATACAATAGGCCCTTTGCAGAGCAAGGACGTGCTGGTTAATTCACTGAGAGCAAATGAATGAACATCTTGATTCCCATGGGTGAAATATACTGGTGAGCAAACAAACTTTCTACAACCTGTTTCGAGAGATCGTAATGGAATTGCATTTCATAACACACTGATTACAAATCGTTTCATTCAGTTCTTTACAAGTAGCTAAAAAGAATCACCAATTTAAAATAAAATAAAAAATCTTGCTCTCCAGTACAGACACCGTACAGTACGTGACCGTTAACTGCAAAGGGCCTATTCACCAATTTTCTTTCAAAAACACTGTCTTATGGCAGGGTTTAAAATAACGGCCGATCAGTTGCTGGTCATAATCACAGGCCAAACTATTTTTTTCTTAGTCATACCTCATTTCTGGCTAAATGTTACTGGTCACAATGACCAGCTAAGCAAAGATTTGACTAGACAAGTCCCAGTTCTGATATCAGTCTGTTATTTTAAGCCCTGTTTGGATTTCAATAACTGAATCGGTCTCTCTTTAGTTTCAGAATATCCATCAATATACATTGAAATTGGTGAAGCTGTGCGACATGTCGGCTTATCATGTGATAACATCACTCTTTCTGTCTGCTATGAAAAAGGCAATAATGTTATGTTTAGGGTGTATGACATTCCAACCATATGTTCGCAAGTAAGTTATTCTGCCATGGAAACCTGCATATGGCAGAACATGAGAGAAGTGTTAGGAAAAGCACAACACGTAGTGAAATGCATAATAATTATTAACACTTCTTGTGTGTCCTGCCAAATCTGCAATAATTGCTTTATAACTGCACAAAGCACAGCAAGCAAGTTTTAATTTCTATTTTTGAATTACTAAAGTTTTCGATATTCTGCAAACTCAGTCATTTCAATAGTATGTTGTGAAAATGGTTTTAACTGCCACCAGTCATAAATATAAAAGGTACCGACTTATAATTTTTGATTAACAGCAATGACAAACCAAATTTCAGCATGCAGCTTGTAACTACTGAGTTTGAAACCCTGAGCTCTTAGAATATTGAAAACCACTGTAAATCAAATTATGATAGCCCAAGATCCTTAAAACTTGCACTTGCAAATATTTTCATTTACATTGATGAAGGTCTTTGTTTAGACCGAAACAGCTATTTAAAAATTGTAAATTCAGTCAACAACTTGACAACTTTGATTTATGATGAAGAAAGTTCACATGGTTGTGCAGTTATAAAGCATGTGCCATCAACTTATCAGGAAGTAAGATTTATAACAGTTATTTTATCACCTTTCTTTTAGACTGGCTCTAAAGAAATGCTAGGAGAAGTTGCTCTTTCCAGTGATGGTGAGTTTGAAAATATCTTTTTTACAATAACTTACAAATTTCTCGCGCACTGATTGGTTATATTTTATCATCAATAAGACGACAGAGAGATAAAGCTGATGTCAATGAGCTCAAGCTCTTTCGTTGGAATAGGCTCGAGCGCGAGCTCTTTCATTGGTCGTTTTTGACGGCTACGCCTCGCAGATCTACACTACTTTGACAATGTGATAACGCAATTTATCGTCAATAAGAGGACAGACACATAAAAACTGATGTCTATTTGTTAAACTTTACTAATGACCCTCACCCTCGCCCCAAAAATATTGAACAAAATGTACCTGCCCTAAACGCAGTAGCCAGCCAATCGTGTGTCATATTTCTTGAAGTGTTCTATGAATGATTATATTTTTAGGGAGTTCGCTTGTCAACCTGCTATGGAATCCTGTCATTCCTAACATATTTGCAGCATGTCTTAGTAATGGTTCCGTTACCATGTGGGATATGAGTAATGCTAAGATAACCAAGGCTGGAGCTCTGCCTGTATCTACAAGAGCCACTGCAAGTAAGTATCAAAAATATCATAGTATAATAGAGCGAATGCAATTAAACCGTGAAATAAAATCAAACTAAATACTAACTAATAGTATCTATTTAGTGACTAATAGCTGCTATCACTCAACCAGAACATTCATCATACAAAGACAAATACACAAGAGACCATTTGTGTCTTTTGTTTGATAATATTCTGGTTGAGTGCAACTATTAGTCACTAAATAGATACTATTAGTTAGTATTTAGTTTGATTTTATTTCACGGTTTAATTGCATCAGCTCTATTTTCACTTTTCTTTGCTACAGTATGCTCAGCAGAATAAAAAAGCATTCTTATTAAAAGTACAACTAATGATAATGATGATTATGATTTGTGATATATATATATAGCACCCTTTCTATATGGATAATCAAAGGCACTTTACATTGAGTTATAAATTCCAGATTTCTTTTAATCAACTTACGAACATGAAAGGTGGTTAGTACGGCATGTAGGCACTGAGGGTGGTCACTGCCAGCGTTTTTTTACGCCCTCAGTGGTTCTTTTATGTCCCTCCGATATTGGTTAATTATGATGAAGTGTGGAGAGATGGAACTGCCATTTTAAGTGATCACCCAAGCCACAGGTTTTCTCAGCAGCTTGCTTTTGAGGGTTTTTTTTTATTGATTCTGGCTCTTGATAAATCAGACTTATATATCCAGGGTAACCAGAGAAAACCCTTGAATGGCATGAAAATAGCTTCATGATAAATGTTGACGTTATGTTTATCTTGTAGTTTGTTGGAGTCCAAAAGGCAAGCAAATAGTTGTAGGCCATAAGGATGGCCATTTGACTCAGTACTCCCCGGTGAGTAGTGACATTACAATCTTGATCACACTTGACTTGCTGGGATACCTGTGGTCTGGAGCCAAATCATTGAGGCAACCCAATCATTGGAAAAATTAGACCACCAATCTTGATAACTGTGTTTGGTATCCAGTAGTTGTTTGATTGCTGTATTTGGTACCCAGTTGGTTATATTCTGAAGAATCATACAAAAAAGCTGTTGGGCTACCTGTGGTAAGAAATCCACAGGAAACCCAATCAAGCATAATGTTTGAATTAATTGAGGAATAATAATCATTGGATAATAGTTAATAGTTCTGGGAAATTTTTAGGCTCTAGAAGTCAAGAAGGAGACACCTAGTCCAGAAATATTTAAAGACAGTCCCCGACAAGGTAAAAAAAGGTTTTTAAACTCAGGTGTTGCTAGAGCAAAATGTTGCAAAAATATGTTTATTAATAAATATGTTTGTTGCCATAGTAACCAGCATCTGTTGGATCAGCGCCGCTGTATTTCTTAATGTCTATACCACAGAAGAGGAAGGAGATATTCCACAGTGTGTTCTCGTTTGTAATGCTTTGGTAAGTAAGAGGGTTGCCATAGTAACCACATCATTTAGCACTGACTAATTGACTCAAAGCAAGGTAATAAGGTGTTATCGATATGTGTTATTAATACAGTAATCATGTGCCAAATCAGAGTAGATATGTACACAGTAGATACTGTTACAGATCTCAACAAGTGACCTCATTATTTCATTCCAGAAAACATCTCCAAAACAAACCATCAACTTTGATGACGTTTATTTTGGGATGAATGAAGACAGAGAAAAAGGGTTTTACACTACTCATTTGTTAGAATGGTAAGATGATTAAAAGTTATATGTAGCTATACGGTGTCAAGTTGATGTCTGACAAGCATATACCAGTATATTGGTGGGGATTGACTACGCTAATACAACAGATGTCACCAAACTGGGATTTCACACCAGATCAAATTTTTAGTGATGCATAAGAATATATGTTATATATGTTATATTGTACCCTTTGTTTTATTTTTTAGGAATGTTACCTTGTCAGTTTCTTGTAATGCATTCGAAGTTGCTGTTTTTGGAAATGAGGTAGTAATTTGTCACCATCATCGGTCATTACCATTATCACCATCTCCATTGTTGTCATCATCAATCATCATCATCATCAATCACTGTCATCAGAATCGTCATCATTATGATTATCAGTGTTGTGATTCTCCTATAAGTTTGATCTGGAGAGAGCCACAGTACCTAAATCATCATCATAGTTTAACATACCATATTTTTGTCTTTTGTTTCAAGGAAAAGTGGGAAAAATGGACATTTGAAGATGAGAAAAGAGCAGAGATGCCTTTGACCAGTGACAATGAAGAGACATATCCCATGGGGATGGCTATTGACCTTACATCTACTATTCCTATAGTGGAAAGTTAGTATACATTTCTGGGGTTGATCTAAACACAAGTCAGGGCATAGCTAACTCACACATTTAACCCTGAAACAACCTCTGGGTTGATCTAAGTCAGGGCATGGCTAACTCACAGATCGAACCCTGAAACAACCTCTTAGCTGATCTAAGTCAGGGCATGGCTAACTCACAGATCAAACCCTGAAACAACCTCTGGGCTGATCAAAGTCAGGGCATGGTTTACTCACATGACTTTTTTTTCTCCTTTCAGATGAGCACAGTTATCCTCCTGCCCCTCTCCTCCTCCTCTTGTCGACAGATGGTGTCTTGTGTCCTTTCTACATGATCAACAAGAATCCAAGGGCTAAACATGATATTGTAAGGCCAGCAGAGCCCCTACCTCCCCCGGGACCAAGACCCAAGATAGTGGGGGATGCACCGGTTTCAAGAAAAGCTCCAGAACAGCCAAGGGGTCAGCAACAAGCAGTCTTTCAAATTCCAAAAACTGCAGCAACTCTACCAAACACAGGCAAGCCTCTTAGAAATATAATATTGTATATATTTTATTTTAACCACTTTAAAGTCAGTCTACATTCTGAGAAACTGTGCCAGAATTCTTGAATATACAGACCAAGACCATTAGGCCAAGGTCTTTTTTTCAAAACCAAGAGCTCGTTGGCTCTTTTTGCTCCTTGAGCTTCCTGTGGTGAGGACAAAAAGTCTTGTTCATAGTTCTTCTCTGCCATAAGATTTAACACAGGGATCCCAATAGAAAATATATGGAGTAGCCTGTGGAGAGGACTAAGACCAACTTTAGGCTAATAAATTGCTTTTTTACCATTTACTTTTCCTCGTTTTTTTTCAATTTATTTTTATTTCATTGTTATTCCTTTAAAAGGTCCTTATTTTTTAAAATTAAAAATAATGACCTTTTCAATCCAAAAACGTTTTTTTTTCCAATTTGAATAAATAACGTCCTTTTTTCATGTACTTAATAGCCAGTAGCAAACAAACCTTTTTTTCCCACAAGGGTAGCACTTAATAGCCAGTGGCTAACAAACCTGTGGCCCTCATTCCGTGATCGAATTGGAATTTAGGAGTTGATTTTTGCGGAGGGAGGAAAACCGGAGAACCCAGAAAACCCTCAAAGCACAGGAGAGAACCAACAAACAACTCAAATCATATACAACACCGAGCCTGGCGGGACTCAAACTCGGGTCGCATTGATGAGAGGCGAGCGCTCACACCGCTACGCCACCCGTGCTTGATGTGCATATAAACTCCAATTATTGTGCCATCAATTATACTAACAATTATTTCTGCTACCATCAACAGCACTTTCCCAACCTGCAACAAAACCTCTCCCAACAAGTTCCAGTTCCAGCCCTTTCTCTTTAACATCCTCCAGTTCCTCACAGCCAGCTGCCAATGCTGCTAGCAGTAAGCTGTTCAATTTCACCACACCCAGCACCCTTGATTTTACTACCACGCCTGTAAAACCTGTTACAACAGAGTCCAAAGCTGTAGCTTCTGATGGAGTCACATCAACAAATTTGTTTGCGAAGAAGAGTGACTCCATGGTGCCTCCAGGGAGTGGGTTTTCTACCTCTGGGTTTCCAATTGGGTTTACATCATCTGTTCCTCGTAAGTTTTCTTTGTATTAGTTTTTTATTGTAATGTATTTTTGTCCCTCTGCATTTTTTCTTCTTTTTGAAGATGATGGTGGTAGGTGCTGATGATAGTGATGATATGATCATTTGATGATGCTGGGAGCTGTCAGTGGTGATAAAGTTATAATGTTGATGATGTTGGTGGCGATGATGAAACTGATGATGATGCTAATAATTTGATATATAATTCACAATTATTATTATTCAAACATCACAGCCTCAACAGCTACACCAGAGAAGCCAACCTTACAGCTACCAACCTCAAAAACAAATTTTCAGAATTTGTTTTCACCTCAGCAACCATCATCTCTGCCAGGCTTGGAGAAACCAACTGTTGGATCACTTTTTAAACCCATGCTAACAACCCAACCTATAAGTGCCCCAAAAGAGACAGATTCTTTGAAGGACAGTGGATCACTTTTTAAACCTATGCCAACAACTCAACCTATGAGTGCCCCAAAGGAGACAGATGCTTTGAAGAACAGTGGATCACCATTTAACCCCGTGCTAACAACCCAACCTATAAGTGCCCCAAAGGAAACAGATGCTTTGAAGGACAGTGGACAAACTTTCAGGTCACTGCAAGTGGACCGAGAAAAGCAAGAGCAAATAAAGAAACAAGAAAAAATACAACTACAGCAGCAGCAACAACAACCAAGAGAGCAAGAACAACTACTTCAGCAACAACAACAAGAGCAGCAAATATTGAAACAGCAACTGCAACTGCAACTGCGATTACGCAAACAGGAGCAGGAACAATACCAACAGCGACTGCTGCAGCAGCAGCAACAACAACAAAGAGAGCAAGAACGACCACTTCAGCAACAACAACAACAACAAGAGCAGCAAGTATTGAAACAGCAACAGCAACTGCGATTACGCAAGCGGGAGCAGGAACAATACCAACAGCGGCTGCAGCAACAGGAGCAGAAACAGTACCAGCAACAACTGTATCAACAGCAGCAAGAGCAACAATTGCAACAACGCCAACTTGTGCAGCAACAGCATCAGCGCCAACAGGAGCAGGAACAGTACCAACAGCAAATGCAACAACACAAACCCCAGCAGCAGCAGCGCCAACTGCAGCAGGAGCAACTTGAGCAGCAACAGCTTGAACCAATGACCAAACAAATGTATTTAAATAAATGTATTAAATGTATTGATGAAGAGGTGAGCCATGGATTTGAACTACTTGATAAAACTTAATGACTTTGGAGTGAAGACCCTGTAGCATGTCAAGCATAGCCTGTACATACCCAGTATACCCTGTACATACCCAGCATACCCTGTACATATCCAAGCTCCCAGCTTTAAGTTTACTGGAAAGATTTTTTAATAACATATTTAAGGAGGCTGGAAAGAGTTTTGTGCCTTCACATAAGCCCAATAAAATTTGTTTGGAATAGTTCCCTCTTACAGAATTTTTCGAATTTTTCCTTAAGTTTTCAAAAACATAAACCAAAGCCATATGCAAAATTTGAAAAAAGAGTTGATTTTTTTTCCAATTTGAATATTAAAATTTCTGAGGACAAAATTTTCCTTTTGCATATTTTACAGCATTGGACTTGGAGCGCACGCGCACTCAAGAAAAACCATTTCGAGCCTCCTTAAACAAACCTCAGAATACTTAATCATTTTAATGTTGTTGATGGCATTAATGAAGAACCTGAATCTATTCCTGTTTCAGATTCAACTCATCAGTGAAGAATTGGAAGAGCTGGGGGAAAATGTGCACCAAATGAAAAACATGTGCTCTGAATTTGTTCAAAAAGAGGAACTGGAGAGACTGAGAGAGGAAACTGAGCTTGAAGCCAAAACGTGTGATGAGCTGAAAAAGATTGCAAAGGTAAGGTCTTTTTTCAGTGTTAGAGGCTTTATCCTCCCCACTGCTTAACAACCCCCCCACCAAATCAAAGTGGAGGTTGCAATAGAACTAGACAGCTACCATTCGTTGATTGCCAACTACTTCACCTCTCATCACCGGCGATTTCAGGATCAAATGAAAATCACTCATATTAATCTAGTGCAGAACAAAAGCCACCTGTTTAGTCAAAAGAACCTCTTACTTCAAAAATTACTGAATCCTCTACAATGAAGGGACCTTAAGAACTCTACTTTGCTTTATGCTGAATTCACCTTTTCGGCACTAGCCATCACGTGGTATAAATTGTGTTGGATTGTGTTATGGTCCCCAAGAAGTTCGGACATTGTTCTCGGATTTCTGTACAAATGTACTGACTTTAAATGAACTATTTACTTGGTTTGTTTAGTTCTCTAAATACAAGTAAAATATCATACTTCTAGCTTGATTGAAGCTTTTCTTACTGCTGTTAAGAGAGCTAACTAAAGAAATCTAAATTTTCTCTTTAAACTCAGTGAATTTGTATGGGAATCCAAGAACAATGTCCGAACTTTTTGGTGACCATAACACAATCCAACACAATTTATACCATGTGACGGCTAGTGCCAAAAAGGTGAATTGCTTTCAACGACATACACCGACTTTTATCAATTTGTATATATATTACATTATAAGTAATTAATGTTATTCCACTTTCTTATAAATAGGTTATTTTTTCTTTTCTCAATTCTCTAATTTATACTAATAGCTAATACATATAATTCAATTTTGTTTATGACATTTTTTCTAAGTATATTTTTATAATTTATTGTATATATACTTAACAAACTCATTAATATTTCATAAGGAAAACACAACAGAAATCAGGACCGTGAAGAGTTTTGTATTTCAGATACAGAATCCTGTTCATTTGCATAAACTTTAAGTTGGATTTCTTGGCCAAATTCACTTTAATTTTGAAAATTTTAGTGAAACACAAAGGAACTAACCTAGACGTTTGATAAGTCATATACAGTATTTGTGTCAGTGTTGTATCCGATATACAAACTCGAGGCATAGCCAAGAGAGTTTGTATATCGGATACAACACGGACACGAATACTGTATATATTACATATTTTTTTGTATATATATATTTTTTCTACTTAATAGTGATGCTGAGTGCAGGGATTGAACGAGAGACTCCACCCTTAATTCCCTTGATAGCCCAATTCTTTTGTCTAGCAGTATTCAGTATTTATTTTGCTTTCCTTTAGGATCATAACAGTGAGATCCAAGATGCTAAGAAGAAACTGCTCAGTTCGTTTGAGGTTCTTGAAGATGCAAGGTATGGCAATGTTTTATTTTTAGTTGTTTAAGGATTAACAACAGCATTGTCATCCATTCATGATGATTATCACCATCATCATTATTACTATCAACATTATCATCTCCATTATGACAGTCATCATCATTATCATCATCATTACCATCATCATCATCACCATCACAACCATTAGCATTATCACCACTATCCTTGTCATCATCATCATCATCATCACATTCATCATTATCACCATCACTTTCTTTATCATCATCAATATTGTCATCACAATCATCATTACCATTGTCATTACCATTGTCATCATCATCATCACCATCATAATCATCACTATCATCACAACCATTATCACCATCACCTTTTCTATCATCATCAATATTGTCATCACAATCATCATTACCATTGTCATCATCATCATAACACCACATCATCATGACCATCATCTTCATCATCACCACCATCATTATCATCATCACCACCATCATTATCATCATCATCATCAACACAACGCAATCATCATTACAAATATTCAATACTTTATTTTGATGAACATTTCTAGAGTTCGTCATCACAGAGCAAAGGATCGTCGCTATCTTCACCTGCTAAAGGTAAATATTACATAGACTTAAATCCTGCGATTCTTTTCCATTCCTTTCCATTATTTACAAAGTCCTCTTTCCATGCAAGCATATCTGGACATGTTTGGGCATGTATACCACATATGTTCCAAATCTTTGGAATCTCCATCACTGTCTCCTGAACTATTTCCTTGTTCTTCACAGTCTCGAGGTCTAGATCCAATGAATGCCAACAAGATGAAAACAATAAGAGAGCTTTATATGCATCTTGATAAGACACTTGGGTATGTATAAGGAATAGACCTTGCGTGTAATGTTTTCACATCTCAGACCATTTGTCATTCCCTTGAGAATAAGATGCTTTGTTTGAGCTATGTTCATTTTCATGTGTCTTCTCGTGTGCAACCATTAAACAAAGAAATGATATTCTAAGGAATGGGATGAGGTCTGGATTGGAAAAACGTTGTGCCCAAATTAAAGAGGTCTATAAGAGCATAAAAATACTGCATAAAATGGTCATGTCGCCAAGCCAGAAGTTCAGGCAGTGGGGGGGGGGGGGGGGGGGGGGGGGGGGGGGGGGGGGGGGGGGGAGTCAAACACAGGTGGCGTGATGGTAAGAGTGCTTGCCTCGCACCAATGCAACCTGGGTTTGAGTCCCATCATGCTCGGGTTCTCTCCTGTGCTTGAAGTGGTTTTCTGGAATCTACAACTTTCCTCCCTCGGTAAAAATGAACTTCTAAATTCCAATTAGAATCCAGTGGAAGAAGAGCCACTCTGTGGAAATGCCATTGTTAATACCATTACCATCACCATTACCATCGCCATCACCATCACACCATTGCCATCGCCATCACCATTACCATAATCATTACCACTACCATCACAATGGCCTTACCATTTTGAATACAATTTACTTTGACAGTGAAGTCCATTTGGTTCTTGATGAAGAATGGAACAAAGAAAATGAAAGTCGAAAGTAAGTCTTTGTCTTATCTGGTTTCACTTGACGTCATTTCCTGTCTCGTGCGGAATGTTCATCAGCTGAATCACAAGTTTTCAATAGCATTCTTTCTGGCTGACAACACATGGTGGTCAACACTTGCCACCATTTGGCACAGATAATACATTTTCAAGTTCAGGTTTTTATCAGCTGAGTGAAACCCAGTAATGAAAAATACTAGTCTTAAAATAAAATACAGTTAAATTGTAAAAAATGATGCTCACACTTACACATAGGCTGGGTTTATTACAGAAAATCATATCTAACAATTCTTTGCTGAGGACAAATGGATTATTGGTGAATATTTACCGAATTGTGAATCACTGAGCCTGAGGGGAATGATTGTTGAATTATTTTGAGCAGTGATTATTGTCTGAGATTCACTGGTCACTCAACCAATCACAGGATGCAAAAATCTATATTCAACCCTAAAATTACATCTTACATCTTGGCATTTACGTCTTGTCTAAAGCCCAAACGAATGAAGGCAATTTTTTTCCGATTTTAATTTCACTTTTTACTTTTATCCAAACTGGGCACCCTGTGGCCAAGGAAGCATTGGATGACACTACACACAAACTATTCCATCAAGAGTGGATGTATATTTATTGTGTGGAAATGTTTTGTTTAAACAGTAAGATTCAGCGGCCAACAATGGATGCCGTCTACAGGACATTACAGGCTCATCAAAGAGTTTCTCAGGAACAGGTAATAAAAATTGTATTTCATTCTTTTTTCTCCCTCTTTTTTTTCTTCTATAAAAACGAAGCCACTCAGAATAGTCCCCTTCACAGTTCCCTGCGCCATCTTGAAAGGTAGCTGTACCTTTGCATCGAAGCGAGACGAACGGTGAGCTCGCAATGATAGAGACCTGTGAATAATTGTCCAAGGTGTTAAGGTGTTTTCTTCTTCAAAAATGTTGATGACAGATGTTGGTTATAAAACGACAGCCTTTATGTTTGCTGCTTTTCTGCACAATCCAAATATGGAATTATTGATCATACCATATATGGAGTGAGCTTTCTCTACTCCAACTTCGACACTAACATATAGAGTAAAGCTTGTTATGTACTGTGTGCTTCTTTCTTTAGTCTGTCAGGCTAGATAAAATTGCTGAGAAGATGAAGCGCAAGAAATTGTTATCCCTGTCTTGGAATAAACCATCAGCGAGCATCGTAAGCTCAAGGTATCTATTTTACCATTTGCTGTCAAAAATGCAACCAGAAAGAATCCTATTGTAGTAAATGACGTCAAGTGAAACCCAGCAATACAAGTACATTGACACATTAATGATAGATTTTTGTATGACTTACGAATTTTGATTTTTTTCAGGGAAAATATGAATGAACTGTCCTCTCTTGAGGGATCTATGAAAAGTCTTGATCTGGATACCACTGCACAATCATCAATCAAAGTGCCAGGTAAATTAACCTTTTTTTCTAGGGATCTTTAATAACCTCTGGAATGAACAAAAGAGTTGTTGGAGGAAATGTCCTGAAAGCTGGACTCATCTTAACTTGTGATTGGTATAAATGTGACTAGTTGATCATCGACAATGTAGGTAACAAGTGAATCAAGGGTTGCATAGTAGTAGTCCATCCACCTCTTACCCTTTGGGACTTAGATTTGATTCCTGGACTCTGGATCACATGTAAGAAGATCTTTTTAGGAGCAGGCGTAGCTCAGTTGGTTAGTGTTTGACCTTCAGAGCTTTGAGGTCCACGGTTCGATCCTTAGGATCTCCACGTCTGTTTCGACTTCTCTGTAATCCGTGTAGCTTCAGCTTTGAATACTCTTAAAACAGAGCACTAATGGAGAGAGGGGGTAAAGTGCGCACCGTCGGCTTCCATTGATAGCAGTTGAATTTCAACTGAAGGAACTACCGATGTAAAGTATAGGTACTTTACCTTTTTTTTTAGATCTGTCCCTTGATTTGAGATTCTTTATCCAAGTTCACTGGTCTCCCTCCCTCCACAAACTCCAAATCCCATTTCCAATAGGCCGTTTCCATGATGGCGTCATTTTACTTCCTCTACCAAAATGCTTTGTGAATTTTCTTTTTTATTCAAATTTGTATTCCCTGGGAACTGTATTCTCCCCATGGGAATAGTGAGACAATTGGTGCTATTTAACCTGAACAAAAGAAAATGTGCAAGGGAGTCTGCTAGTGGTAGTTTATGAAGTCACAATGCAAGACAGTGAACTATTAGATTTAATGGAAGTCGAAGAATAGGTACCACAGCTGCAAAATGTGCACATACTTCAACAACACCCTTATATTTCTTAAACTAACCTTAATATTTATATTTTCTAAATGGCCAACTGAGTTCGTTGCATTGTTGCTATAGATAACATTCCAGCCAACAAATCGGCCCAGCTTATCAACATGTTGAGAAAGCGACAGACCACACCAATCAGAAGAAGCGCTGTTGGTAAGGGCTGGCTTTTGCCTGTTTTGAAGTTTTTGATTTATTTTAGACTGATGCTGCTTCTGTAGTTTTTTTTTTATTGTGATGTCGACTTTGAAGCTGTTGTGGTAGTTAATCTTGTAAATTTCGAAGCTGTTGATTTGTTGATGATGCTGTTCTTGATTAGGATGATTCTGAAAATGATAGTACAGTAGTGATGATGATGACATTGATGATGCTATCAGCTGTCGATGATGCTATCAGCTGTTGATGATGCTATCAGCTGTTGATGATACTATCAGCTGTTGATGATACTATCAGCTGTTGCTGTTCTTGACTGTGATGGTGATAATCATGATGACAATGGTAATAATGATAATGATGGTGATTCAACAAGGATGATAATAATGACATCAGCTGTTGCTGTTCTTAAAGATTTGCTGTCGTTGCTGCTGCTACTAATAAGTATGATGTTATCACCATTATTATTGAAGTGGGACCCCCGAAGTTCGATGTTTCCTTCGCCAAATAGCATTTCAGCAACCGTCTATCAAAGAACTGAAATAAAAAAGACAATATCTAGAGGGAGATTCTAGACTGAATTCAATCTTTAAAATCCTCTAAAATCTTTAATTCAGTCCAAAATCTTCCTCAAGATATTTTTTCTTTGATTTCAGTTCTTTGATTGACGGTTGTTGAAATGCTAGTTGGCAAACTAGACATCAAACTTTGAGGGTCGCACTTTAACGACAAGTAGTAGTAATGCTTTTGCTGGATCATGCTTTGAAGAATGACCTCAGTACATGTATTCACTACAAAAATTTAAAAAAATCATTTACTACTTACAGTCAGTCCAAATACCTCTCGTGCAAGACAAATCCAGAGAAGATTAGCAGAGCCAATAACAAACCTTTCACCACCAAGTCGCCAGGGACGCATTGTCTCTGAAACTCCTTTAGTCAAAAGTACAAGTGCAACTTTACCATTGTTTTCCTCTACACCTGCTGTACCTAGTGGCCCAGAAAAAGCCTTTGCGTTTGTAGAAATTGTTGGAGGAAAGTCAAGGGAGAGCAATATTAAAGAGGAAAATGCATACCAAACCAGTCGTGCAACTCATCCCTCGTTTTCCTCTACGTCTGCTGTGACTGGTGGCACAAGAGAAGCCTTCTCGTATGATGAAGGAAAGTCCAGAGAGAGCATTATCAAAGAAGAAAATGCATACCAAACCAGTCCTCAGTCTCCAGCTCTCTTCACTTCACTGGGTTCTACAAATGCATCCAAGGCGACAGGCGAAACATTGGGTTTTAGTGCTCGACCTCAAAGCATAGGGGCCCCAACACTTTCTACTGCAACTACTGGAGCACCACCTCGAATGACAGCGCCAAAACCAATTTTCGATAAAACTGGTCTTCTTCCCCAACGGACAGGAACTCCACCCCTGACAATTGCATCTAGCAATGCTGGAACATCTCAATCCACAGGATCCACTCAAATGTTCAAATTTACAGAACCAACTGGTACTCCAGTAGCACGAAGAACAGGAACACCTCCATTAAGTACAGGGGGGTTCAACATGGCCCCTCCAAGCTCAGACAAAAGCCTGGAAGGTTTTCCCTCAAGCTTTACCTCGAAGAGTTCTGTTAATTCTACAAAAGAAGCCGCTTTGAAGTTGCCAAGTGCTGGTCCTGGCGATAAGACAATTTTAAAGCAAATGCCCCAACAAACCCCAGTCAGTTCTACACGTGATATGCAAACAGTTACCCCTGCGGCTTTAGCAGCAATGAGTCGAGCAGAAGAAATGCGTGCAGAGAAAACCAATCTTGATCCTTCTGCGAGCATTGAGCCACGATCTATGGTCACCCATGGTCAGTCTGGAGGTGAAAGAGCACGAGATATTGAAAGTGAAAACAAAGCTGCAAAAAGTATCGCTGAAGAGGCTCTAAAACACTCCCAACTAGAGGCCGAGAAAGCTGGTTTCAAACCACAGAGTAGTACCGAGTTTGCCATTAAAGGCACTGAAAGTCCTAAGCCAGGTCCACCTGTGGTGACTGTGAAACCAGTATCTTCAAAAGATAAGATACAGCCTTCTAATTTGACAGTCAAACCTGTGCCAGTCCCAGCAACACCTTTGACCCGACCTTCCATAGTACCACCAGGCAGCTCTACCACAGCTTCTGGCTTTAGTTTTGGGACAGCGAAGGACACCGTACCTTTGAAGGAGAATTTAGGACAAGGTACAACAACCAAGCCTACTTCTTTCTCGTTTGCCGCATCTTTAAATACCAAGAAAGAAACAGAAACCATTCCTGCTGCATCTTTGGGTAGTGAAAGCAGCATTCAGCCGAAGAGTAGCCCACTAAACTCGGGGATCATAAAGCCTGAAGTAATATCCTCACCAGGAGTAAACCGACAGCTATTTAAAGACAGTTCCAACCAGATTAACAATAGCAACGGCCAGAAGGAGCAAGCAGATGTCCCACGAGATTTGCAGAAATTACCTGAAAGTGATACTCAAATAACAAAAGGAACCTCTATGGGATTTCAGTTGAATTCAAGCAAAGAGAATGTTCCATTTAGTGCACCAACTTCTACTTCTTCATCTAGTAAGCCAAACGAAGGAGCACCTTCTTTCGGATTTAAATTTGAATCACCATCTGGATCACCATCCTTTGGACCTGTCCCTGGAAAAGAAACTGCATCCTCTGTTTCTAGTGGAGTAAAGCCATTCAGTCCTGGTTCGGCTGCAGGTGGGGGGCTTACCTTTGGACCAACAAGCACTGCTGCGCCTTCTAATGTGTTCAGACCATTTGCTAACATTCAGACTACATCAAGTTCATCCCCGACATCTTCATTTGGTTCAATAACCATGAGTGCTACTGGCGTTACCACCCCAGGGTTATTCTCGTTTAGCACCAAAGACCCTTCCTCTACGATCTCTGCAACGTCATCCTCAGGTGCATCTTCTGGAGTTGGCATGTTTACTTTGACACCAAAGACCACTGCAGCATCATCCACAACTGTTACTGCTGTCACTTCTGCAGGAGTAATTGCTGCAACTTCATCAGAAGTAACATCCAGTCCATTCAGTAGTTTTACGTCTTCAGTTCAAGGATCATCACAAGGGGGCCTCTTGGGGTCATCAGCAGAAGCAGCAACGACAACACAAGGCAGAACCTTTAAAGGGGGGCTCTTTCAACAAGCAACAGCAACATCTTCTCAGGGAGGGACTCCTCAAGGGGGCCTTTTTGGAACAAAACTAGCAACTTTAACAGGAGGGACTTCTCAAGGGGACCTTTTT